TTTGTCCAAATCGGATGGAATTTGTCACTTACGACCGTATTGAGTCTAGAAGCTAGTATGTCAAATTTGGTGGAAATCGGTTCAGATAAAGCTATAGTTCCCATATATACTGTTCATCCGATTTGTTACCCACAGCCGTAATATGCACTCCGTAACAACTATGTTCAGGAAAATATATCAAATACAGCTCAGAAATATATTTGCCAAATTTTATCGGGATCGGTTCCGATTTGGATATAGCTCCCATATATGTCTTTATCCGATTTCAAATTAATTGTGCACCAAATAGTCAATACATGTCCGAATTTAAAAGATACAAATGCTTCGGCATATTTAGTCCTTTGAACTTTAAATTATAATTATAATCATGGCGTGTATGATTGAATTCTCCCATAAAAACTTTAAAAACTCATTGTTATGCGGAGCTCTACTAAATTAGCAAAGTGGTGTAGGGTGTAGGGTGGGTTTTTCTTCAAAAGTCGATGGGGTCAAGGACTTCTGTATGAAGACATAAAGTGTATTTCAGAAGAGAAATTTTATATTATTTTATTTATCTTTTTTTTGGTATTCCACAAAATAATTAGACATCAGAGACTTTAGAAGCTTTCTCCTGTGAGATGACTTTTAGGGACTCCAAAGAAAATATGTATTTGTGGACATCCAAAAAATTATTTCTTAATTTTTTAAGGGGATTTTCAAATTGTTATATGGAAGAAGATTTGAGATTTGCCCTACAATAAAATCTAGTATTATCCAAATTTGGGAAGATTCCTATGAAATTGGATATTATGAGCTTCTACGGAAGAGAATCTAGGATTTTTCCATACAAGACAACTATATCAAATCCTGCAAAAGAAGACGGTATTGTTTTCCAAATGGACGACCAATTTTCTGTATAATGATTATTTTATGATTTTGTGCAGAAAAAGGGAATAGACCCTCCATAGAAGAAAACCATATAACTTTATTTTGAAAGAAGACCTTGATATATTCAGTGGAGATCGACCGGAACTATAGTATATGAAAAAAAACCCTGGTATTACTCTATTAAAATTAATTCCTATAATATTCAGAGTTAGAATACTTGCGCCAACTCATTGAAAGAAAAACCATTTTTTTATTTAAAAGAGAAAACAATTCATCACTTATTATGTTCTCTTCTGTGAAAAAAACGGCCATCTTTCTAACAGTAAATCAGAAGTTCTCTCTCTCTCTCTCTCTCAGTGAAAAATATATTTTTTTTCTCCATTAAGGAGATGGAAATGTATACATTCTCTTTCATGATTTTCCTTCTCATTAAAAGGAACATCTTCACAAAAATAAAGGCCTTCATCTCAGTGGAAGAGAAGATAACTATTATCTCCTGCAAGCTTATTCTCACTGAAATCCAACATATTGCCCTTTTTCTATAAATATGAAGAAAATCTTTTTCCTTTCTCCATATCGAAGTAGATGAGCTATTTATCCTCTCCGAAACAGAATTACTTCTTCACATGTTCTGAAAGAAAATGGATTACTCTTTAGTAAAATTTTATTCTTATTCATTGTATGAAGAGAATATCATCTTCTACTGAAGAGATTGGAAGAAAAGTTCCTCATTTCCACCTTATAGAAATATACCTTCTACCTCGCTGTAGCTCCCTCTCTGACACTCAAAAACGTCCTTTTCTTTTTTGAAGGAGAAGACCTTCCAGTACTCCTCGGATATGAGCCTCACCTCTATAGTAAAAAATCTTTTCCTTTGGCAGAAAGAGCTTCTATCCCTCAATAACGGAGAAACCTCATTTTTTAAAGAAGAGAGGGAAATTTTTCTTATACTCATCGAGAGAAGGCATTTTTGGCTGTTATAAAGGAAAATATCGTATATTCATCCATATAAGAGAAGTCGTTTTCGCATCTATGAGAGAGTATCCTCTTCTATTCTGTGAGATCTTCATCTCCTCTTCGATTTTTTTCGTCAAAGAAGAACACAATTTTTTTCCTCCCCAGCAAATAAGACTACCTTCTCTTATACTAAAATGAAAATTTTCGTCATCTCACTGAAGCAAAATAATGTCTTGTTCTTCGCTCTGAACAAGACTTTGTTCTCCGATCTGAAGAAGATATTTTCTCCGTTTTGAAGAAAATATGGCTTACCGCTCGGAAGAGTCTTTGCTTTTCTCTCTGAAGTAGAATAATATATTGCTCTCCACTCAGAAGAAGAAAAAGTTTTTGTCCTGAATAAGATATTTTTCTCCGATCTGAGGAAGATCCTCTTCTTTGCTTTAAGGAAGATTTCTTTCAAATTTCTCTATGATAAAGAGACTTTTCCCTCATCTTCGAGAAAAAAAGCATATTTGAGGGAATTGACCTTTTTATCTCTTAACAAGGAGATATCCCCTTTTCCATGGTGAGAGAAAACCATTTTTCTTCGATGAGGGAGAAGACGACGTTGTTTTCTCTCCATGAGGTAGAAAACTTCTTTATCTCTATGACAGAGAATCTTATTTTTTTCTTTTTCTCTATTATGAATAAAAATAACTTTTTATCACATATGAGAAAAAATACCTTCATTTATTCTATGATAGAGTAAATCAATTTTTCAGATTGTTATTTGCGCGGAAGAATGCTTCTTCTTCTATGGAGAAATCCATCTTTCTGTCTTCGCCCTTTTGGTGCAGATGAAGGAGCCCTTAGTGGCCTTTTTCCTGGGTGAGATAGATATCCCTCTTTTCTAAATATGAGACATGATATTGTTTAATATTTATAAGAGAAAGAGAGAGAGCAACCTTTACTTCTACGTCACTGTGTAATTAAGATCTTCTTTTTATTTGTGAAGAACGACGAAAACAAGAAAATTTTTCTTCTCCATAAAGAAAAGAAAGAAGAATAATCTCTATGAGAATTGGGTCTTTTTTTTCCGCTCAACGGAGAAATAGGCGGTCATCTTCCTTTTTTAAGTTTCTCTGTGTAGCGGATTGTTTCAGGTTAATTTGGGAACCTTCTACTGCTTATTTGAAAATCGACTTCCAATTTATTTACAAAGGTGACTTTAAAAGCTCTCCTTCAAACCTGAAAACATTTCAGGTTCATTATGAAGAAGAGAGGGGCTGACATAGCCCCTCTATTATGGATATTTTTTAAAGGGTCTATGAAGGAGTATCTCAATTATTCTTGAAATGAAAAATTTTGTATTATGCTACGGGAAAAAATTTCGTCTCCGTCTACATGGAGAATTCTCTCATCGTTTATTAAAAATTGTATAGAAGAAGTCCTCTCACCTTATGTTTTTTAACAAAAGAATTTTTATACTCCTCTGTGAAAAATAAAGCTTCTTCTCTCTTGTGAGAACACAATTGAGAAGAGTTTGAACAACATCTCTGCTCTAAGAAAAAAATCCTTCTTCTTTAATGATGAAAAAATATTATTTCTTTTTATTTTTCTTCTTAACCTTTCCTTTGAAAATTTGAATAAAGTTTGTCCTTCCCCGACAACAAATCAGTGCCTATAGGTTTCCTCATCCCAATAACATGCGATTAGGGTAAACTTCGGCTATCGACAAATGTTGCGTATGATTTTGAGAAAGTGCATTGTTTGTTTTGCTGTGGTCGATTGTCTGGCAGCTAGTCAATTTCATCATTCCTCGTCTAGTGGCGTTCAACTGGATGATGGTGATGATGATGACGACGACGTCTGCATCATCATCTCTGTCGATGATGATGATGTTGTTGTTCTGCTGGGTGGTTAACATAAAGACGTTTTCATTGGAATTATTGTAAATTCTGGGAATTCTTTTCTCCCAAGGATTTTAGCCAATAAAAAGTAATCAATAAAAGCCTAGTCTTCAATGCACAGCAACAAAAACAAACAAAATCAACAAAAAATTCAATATGATCTATATTTCTATGATATAATCAATGGCAGAGCTCTGCTACTGCATCCAGGGAACTCCACATAAGAAATCATAACTCCAATCAAACCGCATAATAATCTCAAGTAATTGCCCAGGTAATTCAATTGTCCAAAGTAATTGAAATGAACCTGAAATGCACCAGATCCCAGAAAACAAAAAGAGCAACAACAACAACACCAAAACAACTTTGAGAAATTTAGAGGAATTGCAGTTGCCGGGGTTCCCCTCTTTTTTTGGGGAGGCTGTGTGTGCGTCTGAGAATAGTTGATTTGTGGGAGCCAGTTTTTTTTTTTTTGCGGAATTTGTAGCGTGGGAAAAGTGAACATAAAACTCATTAAAAAAACGAAACTTGGTGGGAGAACAACCTGGCAAATGATGCTCTCAAGAATCTGAAGTGAGTGACCGGTAGGTAGACCAACCGACCAAGCAACCGGTAGTTAATGATTAGCTTAGTTGGTTGTTGCAGAAACATCAATTTGATCCTCTAAGACGTTACGTTCGTTGATTTGACTTGCAAAATTCATTGCCAAAGGCGCTAAATCTTGGCCAGCATTACTCATGCAGGCAAATTAAGGGAGTTGCTTCTTTTGTTGGTGTTGTTGTAAAAATGCATACATTGCATACCAATATACCAATATATTTGTGTACGTATGTGGATTGGCATTTGATGAGCTATATGACGCCACCATACCATCGCCTCCCTCTATCGAAGAATTATAGCTTTCAAAATTATCCCTTAATGAAAGAAGACTTAATGTGGCTTTCGGAACTCCATATAAATTAAGTTTTATTTTGGTTTGAAATCCTTTCCAAAAAATTCCTGTAAACCAAATCCCTAATTGTTTGCCAATCATTTAATGGCTTTCTAATTGCCACTCTCACTTTGAGCAGAGGATACTACTCTTAAATTTATCGTTGAGCTGCTAAATTTTACGATTTACTAAACACTGACCGGTGGCTTTTCGGCAAATCATTTCCACGGAATTATTTTATGATTTTTTCTCGCTCCCCCCTCTCACTCTCCCTTTTACTCGCCTCTTGTTTACTGCTATTGCATTTGCACTCACAATAATTTGCCTGTTTTTTTTATTTTTATATTCCGCTACAGGTTCGATGCCAATAAATCTACAAAAGGTGCCTCCAAATTACGCCGAGATTTAATTAATGCCGAAATTGCCAATTTGCGGGATTTATTACCTCTGCCTCAGTCAACGCGGCAGCGTTTATCCCAGCTGCAACTTATGGCCTTGGTTTGTGTCTATGTGCGAAAGGCTAATTATTTTCAACAAGGTGAGTAGAAATTCGAAAATGAAAATACAAGTTTAGGAAGCAGTTTTGTATTCCGAGGAAAACTTCCAACGATTCTCCATTGATCTTCAAATATTATTTTTTTTCTTGGAAAGATGAAAAACTATCCAAGAGACCAAATTTAATGAAATCTATTAATAAAATGTCAGAAGACCTTCTTCTATTGACAAAAAAAAAAAACAAATCACTGCTGAAGATTTTGCACCTTTAAGAGATCTTCTTCACCTTTAAAAGATCTTCTACAAAGGCAAAATAGGTCTCTAGGAAAAATGTCCTTTAAGAGGTAATCTTTATAAAGAAGACATAAGGAGATAAGGGTTTCGAACATTTCCTATAGATAGGAGACACAACAAATCATTTATAGATCGAACCCTCTCAGAGTTATTTTTAAGATATAAAACATTCTAGAGGACTTCCACACAGAGAAGGCCTTCAAGAGGTCTCTTGTAGACAAGAAGTAATTTAAAGAAAAAATTCAAGTGATTCTCTTAAGGTGTTTTTTAAGACTAAAACTCTTCTAGAGTTTTCTAGTAACACAGTAACAGTCCTTTTGATTATACATGGAAACCTCTATATGTCTGACAGGCCTTCAATAGAGCGAATAACTTACACAGGCCTTCTCTAAAGAAAAAGTAAGTTATTTTATGCCTTTTAAAAGTTTTCTATTGACAAAAGTCTTTTGAAAAACCTTTAGATGTTTCTCCTGCTGAAAGTATTTGACAGGCCTTCAAAAGTTATTTTATGTCTTAAAAGCTTTTCTATCGACAAAAGGCTTTTGATGGTCTATAGACTGAAAAACTTGTATAGGCCTTCTTAAGGTGTAAGACCTAATCGATAAGTTCTATGAACATACACCCTTCTTAAGGTATTATATATGAAAATAATGGATCTTCTATGAACAAAAACCCTTTTAAAATTCTCCTAGAAATAATCGGATGAAGACCCCTTCACAGGCTTCTATGTGACGAATAGTTTCTAGAGGTTCTTTGCAGGGAATATTTTTTATGTAAAGGTGACATCCAAAACGACTTCTGCAGAGAGTAGTTGTATTCAATGGAAAAAAATATCTTCTAAAGCTCTTCCATGGACAGAAGGTCTACTAAAGGTTCTTCTTATAGTTAAGACTTCCTAGATATATTTTTCAGACACTGAAGGTCTTTCATGGACATATATATTTCTAGAGATCATTTATGGGCGGAATACCTTCAAAAAGTCTTATGAAGACAGAGAAACTCCTAGGGGTCTCCCATACACAAAAAAATTTTTCGGAGGTAGTCTCTAGGTCAAGCTCTTTAAAGCGAAGAACACCTCGATAGTCAAGGCATCAAGAGGATTACACAGCTATAATAACAGACACAATATCTAGATATCTACAGAAGTCATTTAAAAGTCTTCTAGAGACAGACATATGTTCTCAAGGGACTTTTTATAGACAGGAGACCTGGTGGAAACCTCTTTTAAGCCGGTGACTTTTCAGCAAACTTATTTAGAAGTGAAAAGCCTTTTATGAACAAAGTACTTTCAATATTTCTTTTTTTAAGGAAGATCTTTTAGAGAATTTATTCATACATAAGGTCTCCTATTGGTTTGCAAACCGCCTTTTAAAGTACTTTTTAGACAGATATTTTAGTCCTCTTAGAGGTTCTCCATTAAAAAGGTTCTGTAGCCAGAAGATCTTCTAAGTTTTAAGTTTCATAGCCACAATAACTCTTACGTGAGTCATCTATTCAAGTCTCCTTGGTGTTCTATAAGTCTCTCTATAGGGTTTCTATTGCTGACCTGCAGTCAGTAATAGGGCTATATTATGTTCCTCTATATATCTGCCATAAGCATAGAAGATTAAAGACCTATTGTATATCATAGAATACCTTCAAGAAGTTTGGATATTTCCTTCTTTTTGTTCCAAAAGCCTTAAGTCTTCCTCAAGAGACTCTAGAAGTCTTCTATGAAGATAGGACCTGAATGGGTATTTTATACCCTCAGCCATATGGCTACATTGGTCATATCATTTGATATGGCCAAAATGTGCCTCATCGAAATAACGGTTTTAGATCCTAGGTCTCTTTGCGCCATGTCGGTTTCAGGGTATTGGGTGTCGATCTAGGGGCGTTCGTCGGCCTGGATGTTTGGTGACCTATAACGATAACTCTCTAAGGGAGTATCCGATTTGGACCAGACTTGGTCGGAGATGGGCAAAATCGGTTCACTCCTTCTGGTACCTCCTCCACAAAGGGTCAAAATTTTGAATGACCATGAAGCTCATAAAACACAAAATTAACATCAGTTTCCATTCAGACATGGCACATCTTAATATTTCTATCAACATAATATCCTTCATCCACCTTCTGGTACCTTTCCCACAACGGGTCTATATTTTAAATAATTATATATCTCATAAAATGTAAAATAAGCATCCAACTCTCATAAAATTTCATACATCCCAATATTTTTATTAAGACAAGATGTGGTGTGAAGATGATAAATATCGGTCTACCCCTTGTGTTACCTCCCCCACGCGAAAACGCGAAATTAACATCCGATTCTATACACACATGGCACATTTCAATATTTCTATCAGCACAAGATCTGCTATAAATATGGTAGAGATCGGACCACACCTTCTGGTCTTCTGTCTACAAAGGACATAAAAAGGTATTCTTTCTTTAGAAGTATCATCCTCCTGATAGAAGTAATTTAAAATTTTAAATACAGATCTTCTTTAAGTAGATAACGATTTATATGTCTACAAGATAGAGGTAAAGACATCCAATATAAGTTCTACAAGAACTCAATATATCTTCACAACAATAGGATTTGGACAGAATATTTAAAGCACCCGAATATATATTAAATTGGAGCATATATATTTTTAGGCTTGTTATAAACGGAAGACCCTCTACAGGTGTTTTGTGAATGGGAAAAATGTATATACCCTCTATTGAGAAAATATTTTCAACCTTATATTGATAGAAAGACATCTAGGGGTATATTATGGTAAAAAGGTCGTCCATTTTTAGAATAACTCCTGTAATGCTTCTTTAGATAAAATAAGTCCCTATCTTATTTTTTAGAAAGGCATATATTGCAGTATAAATATTCAAGCCGATCTCTACGCAATGTATTTTCTAACAATACTTATTGCCATATCCATAATTATCTTAGAACAAAAAGGCATAGGCTTCAAGTTGAACGCACTTTAAACAATTTGAAAAAAAAAAAGAACAGCGAAAAACTTTTTCTCCATTTGAGTTCACAAAACAATTCCGCAAATGTTGGTAATTTCAAGTGTAGGAATGGGAAATTACCGGTAATTTTAGATAGCTGCACTTAAGTTCGTCCAATCTGGCTGAGTTTTTTATCCAATTCAATGGCTGGATGGATGGCTGCTTAGCTGGTTGGCTGACTGACTTGCTGCCTAGATGGACCTTCACCTCCCACCACCTGTACTTGAATACCGGCAGATAATTTCGAAAATTGTTCACTAAATTAATGTGAGTGAGGTAGGATGGTATCTCGGGAATCAAGGGGAGAGAGACAAAGAGAGAGAGAGTAGGAGAGTTGAAGAGAAAACAAATTAAAGTCTGTTGCAATCCCGGCAAAGAATTCCTTCAAATGTTGGTTTTCAATCTAATCGCCATTGTTGGCTATTAGCCGGCAAGTAAATCAAGCAAATTGGCCAAAAATGAAAATTATCCAACTAGAATAACAACTATTGTAATGGCAATAAACATTATTATTACAACAATAATTACATGATATTAATAACAAAATAACTTGGCACATTAGCAACATCTCTGGGGTGGGGAGATATTTGTTTTTTTTTTTTTTTAAAGGCAATCCCCAGTCATTTAAATAGACATTGAACTTGAATTGAATTTGAGGAGAAAAAAAAACAAATATCGAAACAATTGTGTCACTCTCAAAGCATTTGCATCTCCATTTGAATTACACATCTTCGTTGAGGCGATGACTTTTTTTGTTGTGCGGCAAACTTATGTGGCACTCCTTGAACATGTCAGATTCATTTGTCTTTCATATTTATTTTTTTTTTGTTTGTTTTGGATATCAGTTACAGATTATCAACAAAAGCAATTAGTTCAAGTTTGCATTTTTCCATTCTATTTGCATCAGCATCATCATCATCGTTGTCGGCATCATCTCGTGATGCTGGTGGCGCATCAGCTGAATGAAAAACATTTTCCCATCATAAACAAATTCAAACAAGCACACCGACAACATGCCATTAGATCTCGAAATGATGCTGATGCAGCAGATGATGATGAGGACGACGCCCACGACATTATTTAAATTTTGTTGACAAAGTCAAGATCTGATTCAGTGTGAATATGTGTGTCTAGAATGCTCTGGAAGTTAAAATGAAGAGAGAATTTTCCTTTTTGGATTAGAAAAAGGTGCGTCGCAGATCTACGATCTATTGTTAGAATTCACAAACAAGGTATGCTCCAGGAGCTTGACAACATTTTTCAGCAGACCAGTAATGAAGAGCTTTTTTAAAGACCTAAATTGAGTCTCTCTCCGTGAGATGCTGGAAGTCTCTCCACATAAGTGGTGCAAGGAGTTTCTCCAAATGAAGTTCTGAGAGTCTCTCTAGAAAATCTGCTGGAATCCGCTATGGACCAGGGGGTCCTTATATACAAGTGTAAAGAGAGGAGTGTCTAGGAATGCAAAGAGAAAGAGATACAAGTATGAAGAGAAGGGTCTCTCTAGAAGAGATTCAAGGCAGAAATCTATACCAGCTAGCACTTCAGAGTCTCTCTGTAACAACCTGAAGACAATCTCTATAGACCAGCTGAAGGCTATCTCTATAGACGAGCCAAACGCTGTCCCTAAAGATCAGCCAAGGCTGACAAATTAAAGGTTGCCTCCATAGGCCAGCCAAAGGCTGTATCAACAAACGAGCCGATGGCTGTCCCTATAGACGAGCCGAAGGCTGTCTCTTTAGACCAGCCAAAGCTTGTCTC